TTCTGAGAGCCACCGTCCCTCCAGCCTGACCGTGGCTCCCCTCCAAGCACCACTGTGCCTGAGCTCTGTGCCAGCCTCTGGTTCTCAATCTGCTTTCAGATTCCTCTGGTGCCATTTAGCTGGAAAGCAAGTTTTCTCTAAGCAGGGGAGATCTGCTGGTTTTACACTGTTGCTGTAGGCTGGTTTATGAGATGCTCTTCTTGGTAAAGGATGAACACTCTATCAGCATTCAGGTCTGGGGAAAATGGGAACAGTTCTGCAGCTCTAGAGAAAGCCCTTTCTAAAATCTAAGGTCATTTAAATTTTAAAGGCGGCAGTAGTGCACTCGGTGCTGGGTTTTTTGTTGGTTTGGATTAACAGTTCTTCACTTTTGGTCATGCAGGAAAACGTTTTTCAAGGGATTTATTTATTTAAATATTTTTAATATCAGAAATTCAAAATTCAAGTGTAAAAGGCTATGCAAAAACAGCAATAAAGAAATGCAAAGCTATAAAAGCTTATGGTGAGAATTCAATGCAGAAACAGCTGTTATTTCCTTGGGAGTTAAGGCATATAAACTCTTCCATGGCTGTGTATCCCCACAATCGTGGTGTGAGGAATTAGCGCTCACTGCAGTGTGCAAACGGAGCCTGCCAGGCTCTGAGGCAGCGATTCATCTGTACCCAGGAGTTAAATATGACAATGTTAGCATTTTTCATTTCCCTGACGTTACCATTAATAAAGCAATGATCCAAAAGAAGCTTTGCTGAGTCTGTTCTTTATGCTTCCATCACTCACAACTAGATAATTTCACACAGGATCGTTTTTAAATTAAATGACGATAAAAGCGCTCTGCTGTCCTGTGCTCACTAGTTCATAGAAGTCTATCAAGTCATTAATGTGTCATGACAAACTGTGAGTTGGATACAAGAGTAATTAATTATTTGCATAAATAACAGGTTGAACTTGGTGCTTTCAGCCACAATGACACAAGCGTCACATCGTGGACATGCTGGAACCTCTGGCAGAGGTCATGGGAGGGTGAAGGCTGAGCTGGCGCACAGCTGATCCCACTCTCACGCGCTTCTAGCAGAGAGCAGCTTGGAAGCTTTTGTGTTTCCAAGTTCTTCACTGATGGTTGCTTCAAGACAGCATCTGATCTTTGGAGCTTTAGTGAACAATTATACAGATTTTCATAATCACCATTAATCACCACATATTTTTCAAGATAATTACAGCAACTATTATTTAGATTTCTCTTTTATGTGCACATTGTAGAAAAGAACAAGTGCTTATTATGCTGGGTAGTGTAGAGAACTACCGTCTGAACTACCGTTGTCATCCAGAAACTCATTATGTTAGCTGATGCTGCCTGTGAAAGTTCATCAGCATGTTTAAATTAGGGTAGCATTGGCAGGTCTGATCATTTAAATCTGGTAGCTTGGCTAAAAATACAGTTATTCAAGAAAGATGAATTACTAATTTGACAACTGAGATTTAGTTGGAGTCTGCAGCGCAGAAGGCAGCATCTCTCGAGTGCTTAGAGAAGGGTGACAATACTTTTACAGATTAAAGAGAGGATTTCTAAGTGAGCTAGCAAGATGAATTATAGAGCATGCTTTGGTGTCCCCCCACTAGAGCCTGAGAGCAAGTCTTGGTAAATTACAGAGAAATAGCCAGCAGGTAGTGTGTGTTCAGTGGTCCTGCACCGAGGAAGGGGCACTGAGGCACCCATCCCCTTCCTGCCTGCTGTCAGGGTTTCTTGGGAACACTGTCCTTTGGGGTTGTGCTTTGTGAGGTTGGTTTTAGCTGCAAGCTCCTTTCAACTCCTTTAACTAATTGCAGTGCCTGAGTGAATTAGCTGTGACCCTCAGGAAGGGGCTGATCCTGGGAGGCAGCAAACAGCCATTGGAAACAGTTTTCTGTCTGAAATCTGATTTTATTTAGCTCCATTTTGAGGAAGAAGGGCACGAGTGCCTCCCTGACCTGTCGCAGGTGCTGTGGATGTAGTAGCACGGAGAGAGCCTGCTGTGCTGGGCCCCTGAGGCTTGGAGGGGCAAGAGCAGCCTTGCCTGCCTGTGCAAGGAGGCTTTAATCTGCAAGGTGCAAGCATTTTATAGGTCTAGAAATATTTTTAAGTCACAACCTTTAAAGAAGTTGAAGCCTGTGTGGGTCAATGTGTGAGCTGCTCCTATGATATCATGAGTAATGCTATAAAATGGGGACCTTGCCCATTTTTATTTGAATCAGCATGTGTACCTTTGGAGAGAACTGTGCTTTGTCAAAACTGTTCCTTTATCCCCTGGTGTTACCGTCTGCTGATCTCAAATGTTGCACAGATTGACAAGGAGGAACCTGGTATAGCTTTTGGCCACACTAAAATGGGAGCTTCAGCTCAGGGTCTGTGAGTGTGACACTGCCCATGGAGGTGGTGACACAGGGCAGGATCTCAGCACAGCAGTCACTCTTCAGAGCCTGCCAGGAATGCTTTAAAGCCAAGAGGGGAAAAAAAAAAAAGGAAAAAGGGAGAAATCAGAGGCTGCTGCTGAAGCTTACATTTACATTACAACATGATGTTGTTGAGAACAACATCAAAACAAGGGACATGGAATTAAAATGTCCTCCTGGACTTGTGGTTTCATTTAATTTTCTTATGAAATTAGCTGCTACTGTGAGCAGCAGTTGTGTGCTGCCTCACAGTGTAGGTGGGAGCAATGGTCCCCATGCCCAGCCCCTTGTACTGGACACCCCAGTGTTGGACAACCTGTCAGGCTCCCGCAGAGCCATGGGAGCTCTTTCCTGGAGCTTGCTTGGCCCTGGAGATCATTGCAAGTCTCCATGAGCTTCTCTGGGAGGAGGGGGCTTCACCCTTGAAGTTCTCCCGAATGTGAAAAAGCCCACCTTAGGCAGCAGCAGCAGCTGTGGGTGTCTCACCCTGTGAGCAGAGCACCCCAGGGTGACAGGGGCACAGGAAGGTCCTTCCCCCAGAGCATCCACTTCATTCAGGCCATTTGCTCAGCCCAGGAGCGCTGCTCCCCATGCATCTTGTCTTGGGGGTCCCCCCTGCCTCTCTGCAGCCCCTTGGGTGGCCAAAGGGCTCCTGGAGCCCAGATGAGCCCTGGGACGAAGGCTGGGGACTGCTGCCCTCCTGGTGCTGAGACAGGCAGTGGCAGTGGCCGCCCAGAGCTCAGTTTCTGTAAAGTTTCCAGAATTGGTGGTATTTAAACCCCCATGACACCAGTGCCTGGCTGTGAAAGGAGACGCTGAATGAGCACCTTGTTTTCTGCTTTCTGCCTTTAATGCATTTTAGCAGCAGGCTGGTGACGGGCCTGACACGGCAGCTCCACACATGCGCCCGCGCTTGGGGAGCGCAGCATTAATAACACACTTCCATGCATCATGCCATTTTTAAGCATGATCGTTATGATAAAGGGCATATACTTAATTACAGGCCTGCTTAATTACAGCTCTGTTGAAGCTCGTTTGTTTAGGAGAGTGCTAATTGCGCTGTGGAGCCTTTGGCTCACCCTGCTTTTATCTGCTGCTTTGCTCCATAGTTGTGAGCTGGGGTGGGCTGGAGCGCGTGGCCGAGGGCCGGGGGGGCTCTGGGGCTGTGGGAATGTGCACACTCCGCCTTGCTCAGCCTTTAGATTACTTTGCAAAAGCTGGCGTGTGGCTGATCAAAGAGGGTTTCTGTCGGATAACAAGTGCAGATGGTCTTTCAGGTTTAAAACTTCCTGGATTTGGTGATGCTGCTTTTCATCTGTTTCCTTTTATTTCCTTTTGCACTGTGGCTGCTACACAGCACCTTTGATAACAAAATTACTCCTGTGGAGGGGGTTTTTAAATCTAAAATAGACAAAGCAAATGTAAAAGGCTGAGTGTTCTTAAATGACCCTTGTTTAATTACTAACATGGTAACTCAGTGGTGCTGTAGAAGTTAGAAACAGCATACAGAGGAGCACGGGGTTTGAGGGTGCAGATGCTTTCTGAAAGAAAACCCTATTTGAGGATCACTGGAGGGCCTCTCAGGGCTTAAATTTGCTCTAATTTGAAGTTTTTGTTTCTTTCAGAGTTGAAATTTAAAGACTTCAGATGTTAAAGGTGTAAGTGCAATAAAGGGGGTGTATCTGGGGTGTGTGCTGCCTTAGAAACATGCCCTTTCCAGTCTTGTGTGCAAATTGCTGAGTTACATGTTCTAAAAATAAGTGTCTCCCTTGTACTACCACATCTTGTGGGAGGCTTCCTGTGACATGGTGATAGCAAGGCACAAACACATCCTAGTGCATCATTGCACTGGGATGAATATACAAAATGGTATAAAGGCAAACAGTGCTCTGAGTACCATTAAGGTTACACTACAGAAAAAGCTGAGCCTTGTGACATGAGGCTGTGCCGTGTGTGTCATGTCCTCATGTCTGTCTTCATATTCCACTGGTTTACATCCTCCAGATGTGGTTTGCAAGTGTTTGAGCTCCACTTCTCACTGTTGAGTTTACACTGGCAACAGCTGGGCCAGGGAGGGTGCTTGGCCCCGGGTGTTTGTCATCATCCTGCCCAGGTGGTGACAACTTACTGCCTGGTACACAGGTGGTGGTGTTGACTGCTTTGGGGGCTACAAGTCCCCTGAACCAGCTGTTCCTTATTCTCTTGCTCAGACACCATCGAGTGTGCTGAAATGGTTTGGTGAGGAGGTAATAAACAGAAGTGTGTCCTCCTTCCAGTTTCAAATACTGTCCTGCTTTGCCAGCTGCACGAAATTGGAAAATGCAGAATTGAGGCCATGAAATGGTATATGGATAGAGCAAGGAGAATTTGTTGGATTCCTGGTTTGGTAGGGACTGACACAGCTATGTCTTAAATGGAAGGAAACCACTTGCAGTTTTGGGGGAGGAAAAGGCTGGTTTAAGAGCAATCAGTCATGTGTCAATGCTGTGAATACTTGATCTGTCACTGGGAATATGTGAAGTTGCATGTCAGAAGCCAGCTGGAAATGTCACATGATGTCTTGTCCCTTTCAGCAATGGATGGAGTGCCTTTTATGATTTCAGAGAAGTTTGCCTGTGCTCCTGAAGGGGTGAGTTGCCTTTGTTATTCTCCCAGTGTCTGAAATTCATTGTTTCATGGAGAGTGATCACAAAAGATAAAGACCAATTACCTGCTTCTGGGAGCTGTTCTGTTGTGGGGCCAAACACGTACACAGTGCTTGAGACAGGCTGAGGTTGCATGTCACAATAGCTGCATATTAGGTGGGAAAGGCTTTTGCCAGATTGCTTCTAAAACTGAATTCCCCTGGGATTTCAAGGTTTATTACCGTCAAAAATAGGAATGGCAATGGGACTCCGTGGTGCTGAAAGCCTTTCTAATTTCTCAGCGTAGATTGTAAAGGAAGCTGCAGATGCGGAGTTCTCCTGGATTTACTTGCTGTGAGGATGGCATAGTGCCAGCAGCTTTACTACTTCCTGTTGTCACTGCAGAAGTTCAGGGCAGTGGGGATGGCACAGTGCACTCCAGTGCAACCAGCTGCCACCAGGGTCCTGCCTGGCTGCGGGTGAGCTGCAGAGAGCTCTGGGTGGTGCCTGCTCCACACCGGGCACTGCAGGGCCACACTGGTGGAGCATGCTGCTGACAGCACAGGCAGGGCACGGCTGCTTCTCCCAAACAGAAACACTGCTACTGCTTCAGTGTGACCTCTGTGTGTCACTGGGCCATGCCTGTTAAAGTTGATGATCCAGAGCTCAAAGATTCAGTATCCCACTAACAGTTCCTGAATCCATCTGATCCTAAAGCAGCATCTTTTTAGAAATCAGTTTACAGGAAGCTGTTAAGGTAAACACTGGGCCATCAGCAGTGTCTGATTTTTCAGTAGTGGTCCAGCTTCGTGCTTTCTTTTTCGTGCTGACAGGGGTTTTTCACATCCCTTGCTTTCTGAGAGGGTTGTTTATGGGCCGTTATTCCCAGAAAGCTGAAGTCCCTGCTGTGAGGACAAATGCAGAGAGATTAGGTTGTGCTAATTCTCCCTGCGGATCCTTTAGACACCATTGCCACCATATGGTCAGTTTGGTCAGGGCTTCCCGCAGCTGGTGCTGCTCACACCTCGTGCTGCGGCCACAGAGTTCCATCCGGTGTTACAGACTCGTCCTGCACAGGGGAGGTGACAGATCCCCCTGAGCAGAGCAGCACCGAGCTGAGTGTCAGCTGTCGCGCTGAGGGAGAAGTGGTGAAGCTGGTAGCCCCAGCCCACCGTCTGCTGTTTCACTCTCCTCCTGGAATGAGGAACAGGATCATGCCTGTGTTTACCTCTAAATCTCTGGTGGTGGAGTGTTTGCTGACTTTAAACAGAACAAAATAACAAACAAACACACCCCCATTACCTGACCCTGAATTTGAAATTTTTGTTTCTTTCTTTCCAGATGCAGCCAGTTGATCTCTTGGGTATCACAATCAAAACACTTGCAGAAATTGAAAAAGAGGTAAGTAGCCAGCCAGGCACTGAGCAAATCACAAGGGCTGTGTTCACTTCTTTTTAAGAACCTTACCCTTGGGGAAAATACTTTTCTTGTATCTCTCAAGTCACAGAGAATGGATAAAGTCAAGCAGTAAGCCCAGGGTCAGGGATGCCCTCTATGATCCATGATGAGTGACAACACTCATGGTGGTGAATTTAACGGCAAAGTGTGGGGGCTTCTGTTTATCTCCAGATGTCTGCCTTGGTTAGCCTTTCTTTCTTGTGTATTAACAGTACATGGTACAGGCAGGACACTCTCAGGTGCCTCTTGCATGTTAGGGAGGCAAATGGACCTGACTCAGCACTGTCAGGTAAACACCTTCATCAGTTTTTAGTTTGCTGATGCTAGGAAGTTGTTGCTGGGAGAACTGGGCTGCACTTCAGTGGGAGTGAATGTTTGAGGAGTGCAGGGAGGAGGCAGCCACCAAAACAGGGTGGTTCTGGCACATGCGTAACGTGTATGGCACGGTGCTGAGGAGCTGCTCCGCTAGGGTCGCTTCACATCTAAAGCCTCAGATTAGGGAGGAAACTTGTCTTGGCAGCACCTGCTTCTTCAGGCACCATTGGTCACAAAGGCTTCCTCCTATGCCATCTAGCTGGGTTCAAGGGAGAGAGTAAGATGGCATTGCAAAGCTGCCAGGTTCTTCAAGACTTCTCCACTTTTTTATTCCAGTTGAGTCCAGTTGCCTAATCCACCCTCTTCTGCCTGAAAGTTTTGTCTAAGTACAAGGAGATGGTCAGGCCCAGTTGCCAGGGCTTTTGCAGGCACCCCGTGGGACTGCAGTGGCAGCAGTAGTGGATGTGAAGATGCTGCCTGACAGGGGCAATGGCTGACAGATGCACCCACAGCCTCAGGCACCGCAGTCTTCCTTATGCCACACATGCTATGTCTGTTTGGGACTGCCTGTGTCTGTCAGGAGGGACCCTGGGAGCAAGGGGTGCTCAGGGCTGGCAGCCCTTCTGCATGCCTGTCTGCTTTCCCACTCTTGCCCTGAGCTGGCCAGGGAGCAGATGGTCCCTTTGGCCAAAGGGAAATCCACGTGGTGCTGAATTTGCTTCTGCATCATTGCTGTGTGTTGCCTGTTGTGGGAGAGGTCTGACATCTCGGGGGTGCCTGGAGGGGGTGGGCTGCACAGCCCTCCTTGTGCCCTTGCAGGCCTGTGGAGTGTGGGGACGCCAGCACTGGAAGCATTTGTGTGGGCCAGGGAGGAGAGGCCAATACCTGCCTGCTCTCCCACAGCTCTGCTGTGTAGCAGGCTGTGTGCGTTCTAGCGTAATGAAAAGTATGATTATGCAGCCCATATTCCTTGATGAAGCATCTTGTCTGCACATAGAGAGCTACACATATAAATATTGTGAATTTCGGCATGGCTTTATTTCCCTTGTAAGCAATAGCACCATTACAGCAAATCTTCTGGATATCCAAAGCAGCCAGAACATTCTCCCTGGAGCAAGATGCCTTGCAAAAAATATTCCCAAAGAATTCCAAGAATTACTGCTCTCTGTCACCACATTTGCAGATGTATGCACCCATCCTCCAGGCTGCAGGCAGCTGAATTTCAGGACTCTACCCTGTCAGGAAAATGATGGAAATAGGTGCAAATCCTGGACTGCACCTGAACTGCTCTCGGTGTCCCAGGATGGCACAGCTGTGCCCAGGGGAGTGCACAGGAAGCTGGGCTGTGAAGAGGTGGTGAAGTGCAGGTGTAAGCAGCACATGCTGTCACTTCATGGCTAATTTGGTGGATGTAGGACAGAGAGGAGAGTGTAGGACGGACAGTGCTGCTGCCAGGTGTCCCAGCAGGGCTCTGGGGGTTTGTCCTTGCTACCCCTGCCTGTCCTGGGTAGGGTAGAGCCACTGAGCGTGCACCTGGGCAGGTGCAGGTGGTAGCAAAGGTGGCGGCACTACCACTGTTCACAGCTCTCTGGCAGTGAGGGCAGTGGTCTGGCCTCTGGCAGGGTGCACCCTCTCTTCATTTGTGCTTGGCGTGGTGTAAAATGTCAAGAGAGAGTCTAATTAGTAAAGGGAATATCCAGTATTCATCATTCCTTTTAAACTGATAAGGAAGGCAGTTCATTTAACCACTGAATTGCTACAAGTTTTCATGGGCTGCTCTTTCCAAATATATTTAATGAAGAACTTGTAAATCTAGAAGAGCTTAAAATTTTAATTTTACACAGAAATATTTTTCCTTGTTTGCATGTTTGTAGTCAATTCTCCTGAGTGCAGTCACAAGAAATGTTCTTTAAATGAACATATTTGCTAACTGGCATGATTTCAGATTTTAAAACATTGGTTCCAGCAATTAGGAGTTTCCTCAGTTCCCCAATGACTGGAGAGATTCGTCTTGATTATAATTGCTCTTAGCCACGCATATCTAATTTGTGTCTTTTTAAGTGTTAATTAGTAAACAGTTTGAGCTGACATCTTTATGCGTTTGGGTGTTGAAAAATGAGACCTATTGCGTGCTGGCGGCTATGGCATCATGACAGGGAGGTGAGGCTGCGGGGAGTAAAGGCCTGGTACAGCCTGGGTACAACCTGGTATAGCCCAAATATAGCCTGAGTACAGCCCGGGTACAGCCCCGGCGCAGCCCCGGCGCAGCCCGGGTACAACCCGGTACAGCCCGGGTACAGCCCGGTACAGCCCGGTACAGCCCCGGTACAGCCCGGGTACAGCCCGGTACAGCCCGGGTACAGCCCCGGTACAGCCCCGGTACAGCCCGGGTACAGCCCGGTACAGCCCGGTACAGCCCCGGTACAGCCCGGGTACAGCCCCGGCGCAGCCCGGGTACAACCCGGGTACAGCCCGGGTACAACCCGGGTACAACCCGGTACAGCCCCGGCGCAGCCCGAGTACAGCCCCGGC